AATATCTATCTATCTATCTATCTATCTATCTATCTATCTATCTATCTATCTATCTATCTATCTATCTATCTATCTATCTATCTATCTATCCATCTATCTATCTATTTATCTACATGCTCTTACTTTGATGAATTATCACTTGCACTAGAAACATCAATTCCGTTCTTTTGGACAACCAACTTCTCTAGCTTCCTCAAATTAAAACATTAATCAGAAGTAAAAGACTTCTACTCTATAACAAATAAAGACACAGAATGTCATTTTTATCACCACCCATTAAACTCGTACCATCTTAATCATCTTTCAATATTAGCATTTCTATGATCTTTAAAGCTTGCGAAATCAAAATATAACTGGGTTGCAATCAGAATACTGATATTGCGCCCAGCTTCACACTGTTACTGTTAGCAATTGTTATTATTCATTTATGTTTCATGCATATGGCTGTGAGCCAGTTTGTGAAAGAAAGCATACAGTTTATATAAATGTATTACCTGAGTTGTGGTGGTCGATTATGATTTATCCTACAAGCGAAATTGCAAAGTTATAATCACATGTTTTAACGAGTGATTACAACTGGCAATTTCACAAGTGGGATGTATCATGGTCTACCACCATAACGAATGCACAACATTTTTTATACCATACTGACATCAGCTGTCATAAAAGACCAGTCAATTGGACAAGAGGATCCATTCAAGAGTGTTAAATTTCAACGCAATTTCTGCGAAACAAACCTCAAATAAAACAATAAATATAGATCTAGTTTCTTATTTTTTCAAGTCGTGAATCGTACGTTTTCTTTGCTTGCTTTGGCTATGTTTAGGTTGTCATTGTTTAGATTGTGGTTCATTTCGCGGAGGGAGACATAGGTATAGCACAACATGTAAATTAACGTGGCTAAAAACAAAGGAAAACGATCCAGATTTTTTCCAATGATCACTACAACTTCGACGAGCATGAAAATGTTGTTTTCATGCGAGACTCTAGAATGGATTCTCTTTTCCAACTGGCTGGTCATTTGAACTTTGTTGGTCCGGATCTATTTCGTCAGCTGATATCGGTATGTTATTTTTTTTAAAGTACCTCACTCATTATGGTGTTAGACCATGATTTATCCTACTTGTGAAATTGCTTGTTACAACTTGGTAATTTCACTAGTAGGATAAATCATAGTCTAACACCATAACTCATGTAATAAATTATTTATGTTTTGCCTTCGCATTTCTTTCTTAAAATCATGCTCTTTTAATCATTTACCGAGAAGAACTCGGCAGGTGTCATATAGTAGTGGCTGAAGTTGACTCCGTTGTAGGCTTTCTCTTTGGTCAATCCGCCATCCCGGGAACCAGCAGTTGCAGTTTCTACCCCTCGCTGATTGAAAAAAAAATACAAAACATTGAGGTTATATAACAGAATACTATTAGAGCTTTCGGCAGGTACGCCTGTCAGACATCGGGGTCCTCTTGTCCTCAACGGCGTGGTGTGAACGCCTCAACGTACATGAACAATCTGAGCATCTAGCAGTCTCCCCACGAGTATTATTAAACACGCCCAACCACCACATTTCAATGCAAGTTTGTAGAGTTCCGCCTAAGACTGCAACTCCCTTATGCATGTTTTTTTACCGCTCCAAAATCAATCAAGTATGATTATAAAGAATCCGTCGCAAGCAACAGACTGGTGGTTTGACAAATTTAAAGCTTCACATTTGTCCAAATACCAAGCTAAAGTCTGACGGTTGCAGTGTGGTGTTGTCACGCAAAAGGATACATACCTAGCGACTCATCATTAGCGACTGCCGTGAGCAACGCGACGTTGCGTTGTGCACAAGGAGACATACTATATTATGACCATCGAGACGTCTCTACTTGAGTCTCGCTTAGTGCTCATCGTTTGTTATTTCACACTCCCTGATTCTAAGTCAGGAAGGATCGAATACCTCATTCCATCGGGTCAGAACGACAAATTTTGAAGATCTTGCATGGAAGTCCCGCACACTAAAGGGTCATTGGTGTTTCTGACACTGAGAAAAGTGGACCCTTCGGGAGGTCGTCCTGGTACAATTCAAAGTTACTCACTACCCAAAACTGAAGCCGCTCTTGTCCGTCAAAATCTTAATTTTCAAGAGTACCAGGAAAACGACACGTGGCTACCTGTCAAACAATGGAATATTCTATGCTTTATGTGGATTAAACGGTCAAGTATATTAAAGACAACTGCATTGTTGGATGAATATCTATCTCTTTCTCTTTCTTTCTCTATCTATCTATCTATCTATCTATCTATCTATCTATCTATCTATCTATCTATCT